CATACGTATACGTTATCTAGCAAGCATATATCTAGCTCTTTCTCACACTCTCGCTCGCTCTCCTTCCCTCTCTCACCCTCTCTCACTCTCACTCTCTCGCTCTCCCTCTCTCTCTTGGTGTCTGTCTAACTTGAGCTATCTTTTAGCTGTTGCCAGTTGCTTATCTTATCAATAAATAGCGACTACGACGACGCCAAAGAACTTCAATTCAATTTCTTTTCAATTTCTTGCACACACACATACACACACACACACACACATACCCACACCTGTCAGACGTCAGTCAAGTAACTTTTTTTTCCTACTTTCCTTTGGCCGTGCTCTCGTTGAAAATCTCGACAGAATCTCGTAATGATGAGCGACGGTGTCGTGTTTTCATTAAGGCGCCAACACACTCACCCACACGCACACACACACACACAAACACACCTATATACAGCCAAAAAAAAAAAGATGTAAATTTGAAAATCTTCTCTAATAATAATAATAATGTCGTGTAATAATACAATATGTATGCAGGCATATTGTCTTCTAAGGGTAGAAGCTGCTGGCCTTTGATCTAATCGCTGGCACAGCAACGTTGCACACACACACACTAATACACCAATACACCCACACACTCGCATATATACAGACATTTTGCACACAGGTAAGCAATGGTTTCTTTACCTTTGCCTCTAGTCAGCCTCCTTGGCAAACATGAAGATGTTTCGCTCTGCGGCTTTCACAAAATGTTAATTTTGTGCTAATGAAAGCGGCGTCTATTTGCCAGCTCTTGCGTGTGTGTGTGTGTGTGGGTGTGGGTGCTGGTGTGTGTGTGTGCAGCATTTAGACGCCATTTTGTCAGGCTGTCTAATGAAATTGCGCTGTCTTGTGCTAAAGATTTTTGGCTGCACAGATTTGCGCAAGGCAACGGAACCAAAAAAAAAAAAATAAAAACCATACAAAGTCAGATGAGTGAGCTCTAATAGGGCATGCTCGACTAGAAGATGACCTATAAGCTGTGCAGCAGTTACATTAATTCGCTTTATCGGATCGTATCAACCATATATGGCATCCACTCGTAAATTTACATAGACTTTGACTTGAAATGCTAAACGATACTTATCGATAATATATATACCCCCAATCGAGTAGTATATTTAATTCACATGTTTAATGAATTTAAATAATTCATTCAGCAACAATCAAGAGAACTACATTTTATCTCGCTATCTACTGGAAGCTACAAAAGCAATCTGGCATTTATTAATCGATATTAATTGGTATTATATAAAAACAATTTTATTTATATCAAATTCCTGTCTTATAAAATCTAAAAGCTAAGCAAAGAAGAGAATGAAATTTTAATTCTTGATTAGCTCAAATCTTTCATATATGTATATTGCGATATTTATCGATAAATTTTATAGAATCCAATACACATCAATATCATATACCAATATATATAGTTCTATGTACATCAACACTTCTTTAGTCAAAGCTATGTAATTATCAGATATATACTATTAGCACACCCCAATTGATCAGACATATCTCCAAAGCCAGAATATCAATCAACATTTATCGATAATAGATATGTTTATACTATTATACCTATAATGGCAAACGATTTTAAGAGTTGTCCTAGCTCTTGATATCGTTTGCCGAATTGATCAAGGAAAATATATACCCTCTAATAACTCTGTCTACCATCTACAGGGTATGGCAAACAGTTTTTGTTTCAAACTAGCAATTTGGCTCTGCCCCATGTGGCGCCATCTATGGGCCAGGTACAGTACGGGCCCCAAAGTTCTGGCAAGTGTCAAATAACAATTAACCGAATGGGCGCATCTAGAATGGATTTAGCCAGATGCAGCCAAATGCGAAAATCTTTAGCAAAAATTGTAATTAACTCAAAGTGTAAATATTTACTTTTCAGCTTTCATTTCCCAAAATGGTTGTTTACAAATGTTGTGGAAAATGTGAAAATTTCGAGAAAAATTCACATTCTTTTGTTGTAGACCTCTACTCGAATGGGAAATTTTATCGATTCCAAGATAGTGTTATCTCTAAGCTCTATCGAAGTTCGCCTCAATTATGAAAAATGGAATCAGCAGTTATCGATAACAGTTAAATTCATTTTTGTACAGTACGTTCTATTGTAGTACTCCTCAAATATAAGGAATGGAATCAGAAGTTATCGATAACTATTAGGCTGGCGGCAAAAGAAAACTAAATATCGATTTTAGCTGTTCGGTTATCGATACCTTCTTGTTTATAATAGCTATCGGTAATCGATATTTCCTATTGACTGCCAAGAATATATTATATATCGAATCACATCTATTTTTATGAACATATCGATAGCAATAACTCATTGTTATCGATATATTTTATCGACCCGTCATATTTAATCATATTCATAGTTAAGCTGAGCTGTACTCACCAAATGTAAAACAGTGTTGACCACCTCCCGATTGGTCACCTGGCCCACCTCGATGAGGCCGATGAGGACGGCAAATTTCAGATTATCGGCGGTTGTCATTCTGACGATTTCGTCGGGCCGCTTAATGTCGCTGAACGGCGGACGCATGATGTCCGCCATTTTGTAACGAGTCGATTGTTGATTTGTTGATGCAAATTGTTGTTATCGATATCGATTGATTATCGTTTCAGTTGTTCGATAGACACATACAAAAGTGTGGCATTAATTAGTTGTCGTTGTTGTTGTTGTTGTTGTTGTATTTGGTTACAATCATTCAGATTGAGATATATATATATTATGTATATATAGAATCATATGTGTGTAGATTGGATGGATGGAATTCACAGGGGATAGCTATGGACGCACGCACACACACACACACATAGAGACACGAATGCACACACCGACACATACATATACATATGTGTGCGTGGATATATCTATATAGATAAGGGAATGCTGCGGATGCTCTTTATCTATAGCGCAAAAGAAAACAAACAACAACGATTTTATCGGGAATGAAACAAAATAAAAAATTTGCTTGATATTTTTATTTATTTTTAGCTGGATTTTGTTAAATTTTATTATTTATTTTTAGATTTTGCACATTTGTTGTTGTTGTTGTTGTTGTTTTGGCAGCCGTTGTTGGCGCTCATATTGAGTCGCTTTCGGTTGTTACATTTATTTCTTTATTTTTTATTAATTTTTATGTATTA